ACCATTACCTGACCCACACGAACGAGCACCCCTTCTTCTGCCGCTACTGCCCCTACAAGGCCAAGCAGAAGTTCCAGGTCATCAAACACATCCAGCGGCATCACCCTGAGCGTGGGGCCGGCGACCCCAGCCAGGGGGTGGGCAAAGACCCCAGCACACCCACCGTCCACCTCCACGCTGTGCAGAGGGAGAGGGAGGCTGAGGGGCCCCCCGGGACAGAGCAGGAAGGAGGGTGCCCCGCGGAGAAGGACAGCGCTTCGCAGTGAGCCCGGAGAAGCCTGACTGCTTTAAGGCTCCAGTGGCACAGGCCTGCTGCAGATATATGTGTGTGTATAGGCATATATGTATATGGGATGTAAAATATGCGGCTGTATAAAAGGAATCTCTCAGCTCCTTTTAATCCTTTTTCTTTGGGCCGTTTGGAGCTCTGTGTGAGACGTGGAGCAGGTGCCTGCAGGGAGAGAGCGCAAGCAGAAGCCCAGCTCCCCGTCTCTGTCCCCAGCGCCACTGCACCCAGACCCGAGCCTGCCTATCACCGAACAATTTATTAAGTTGCTTACAGAGAAAAGACACGGCAAGGGTTAATAACAGATGCTGGCCGGGCGCAGTCCTGGGGCGGTAGTAGCCAGAGGCTTTGATGGGGCTCTGCAGGGTCAGGGCAGTGAGGACCGACTCCTCTCCCAGCTCTGCCCAGCCCTGGGGTTTGCTCGGCTCCAGCCTTGCTCCCCGGGCCGGGGGGGACCAGCCCCTGTGGCAGAGCCGGGGTGCTGTGCACCATCTCTCCTCCTCCTCACGGCCAAGCCGTGCCCGTGGGCCAGGGCAGGCTGCAGGTGGGGGGCGCTGGGGGCTGCACCCGTGGAGACCCCACCCTCATGCGTTGGAGGCAGCATCCCAAACCTGGGAAGGGAAGGTCAGTGCCTTTTCCCAGCCCCTGGAGGCCACTGCAAACAGGGGCACAGCAGCGACAACGACACAGGGATGACACAAACAGCTCAACCAACAAGAGGGCAATGCGGCTGGCTCTGGGGCCCCAGCAACTCGGGGCCGGCTCTATGGCTTACATCCAGGTCCTGCTCACCCCACGGGCTCAGTCCTGCTCGGGGCTGGGCGGCTCGGTGATGCGGATGTGGACGAAGAGCGAAGAAGGTGGGATGCTGGTGCCATCCTTGGAGAGGAGATGGATGTGGCGGTAGCCTGCAGGGGGGACAGCGAGGCTCTGGCTGATGGCTGCCCCCACTCTGCTCTCTAGCACCCAGCTGAGCCCAGACACCCCTGCGGGGCTGCACTGGCCCACCACCACCACCGGGCAGCAGCCCTT